AGTTTAATAAAAAGACTCATCAGAGTCGAAATTACTCGTGGACGATCGCTTTGTCTCAATTTCGACATTCGTACGAAGGACCCATTTCCTCGAAAACGTTTCTCTCGATTTAGAGATCGCGTGAAGAATCTACTCTAGTTTTTGGAGATTGATCGTCGTTCGTCAACGAAGACGGGTCGCCTGATCAATGGAAACGTGGAACGGTGTAGCGGGGCGCGAAATGGCTCCTTATACCCTCTATTCCGAGAATGATGTAGCGAAGACAGACGGTAGCATTGTGAAAGCGAAGCTTCCTTTTCTCACGTTATCATCGTCGAGTCGTGAAAAATGGTGGAGGGTAACAACCGGAAAGATGTATCATCCGAGGAAGCTGTATTCGAAACGACGTCCAAGAGACCAAAATCCCTCCGAGTCTCGATCGCTATCAGAAATTCAAATACAATTGAACGTGGACGTATGAATCGAGGCCCGACGGAGATAATTTCTACGTAGGCAGCGTTAGAAATCGGAGTAGATTTGGTAGGAACGCGTTTGGGCAGCCGGTTCGGATTTTTCTCGGGAATCGACGTTCCGCAAAATAGTTCCACAAGTTGGCCCTGCACAACGGCCTATTTTCCGTATTTTCACTCTCGTCCTCGTCCCGCGCGCGGCTTTTGTTGCTCCCTTTTCATCGCCCCGGCGGTGGATTCAGGTCAGCTCCGGTCGTTGCTTTTACACCGACGACCCTCCAACCCCCCGTCGCGACCCCCCTCGCGGCGCGGCACATGCAAACGTGTTCACGGACACGGGAACGCGGCCGTGTGCCCGTGTGCAGATCGAGGCACGAGTCATCAGGCCGAGACGGCGTACCAGTCCACGAAAATTGCCGGAAACGTACTACTTCGATCCGAATAATTGCCACGGCCATCGATCAAAGATTGATTCTTCGTTTCGGTCATCTAAAAACTTTCATCCGATGGAAACCCCCTTCTTCCTCCTCTTTCCCCCTCGTCACTGATTGGATTCTGACCCGTTCCCTTCAATCATCGTTTCATTAGATTCATGCAAAAATAATTCTATCAAATCTGATCAGAAACAACTCCGTCTCAGACATGATTAACGATTAATTGCACATGCAAAACGACTCGAATCGAGACGAGAACGAATGCCGGAAATCGTGTAATTAATATGTGGCGCAGGAGAGTCTCGATAATTATTTCCAACCAGGAATCATCGTTCCTCTTCCCGTTTCGCGCGAGACAATCGGTCTGCCGAGGCAAATTGATGCACCGCGAATCCAGCTAATCGTACTTTAAACACCGTCGCGGTATTTAAATCGACGTACGACGAAAGTTGGCAAGAGGAGAGCTTGTTAGCAAACTTCCTACTTAATACTTAACCGGTTCTCGCGGGTCAGAAGACGCCGTTTTGCCAAACGAAAATATTTAACGCGTTTCATTGAGGAAGCATTTTTTTCTAAGAACGAAGCTCAGAAATTATTCGTCGTCTGGCCCCTTTCCTTTAGACGCTGATTCATAATTCGTTTATTCGACTGGAGAATTTGATTTTGCGTGTAGGGCGAGCGATAGTGATCGAAGGGCTCGAAGGAAACGCGGAGGAAATGTACATATACGCGAGGAGGATCGTGGGGAGTGAGCAAACAACCGCGAGTTCAACATCGATTACCACTTTACGCAGCGACTGGACTACGTCGATGATGCTCATTCGTTTGGTACACAAGCTTTGGTTAAACGAGACACGAGTAGAGGCTCGCCAAGTGGATCGGTCAACACGTAAGCTGCGCCTCTTTATTTCTCCTTTTTACTGCGTCACTCCGTGGAAAAAGGAACTACCCCGTTTACCGCAACGCGGAGACAAGTCTCGCACTCTCTCCAATTACAACCCCTCGACGGTCCCGCGCGGATATTTTATACATCCACCTTCCTTCATGCATTTATTCAATATATAACGAATCCGTTCAATATTCAAACGTATAATAGATGCAATTTTTTAGGGAGTGATCGATGTACCACGTGCATGTCGCCAGTTTTAAGGAATCCATCAATTTGTGCGTATCGCCATTTTTTAAACATAAAATTTCGCTAGGCTGTTCCGCTGCTTCCGTTCGCTAGTCTATCGGTGACTATTCGAAAACGTTATCTCTTTTTATACTTTTTTCTAAGCGAGTATTGTTATATTTTTGTTCTTTCTTTTTTCTGATCATATTGTATTTTGCGTATACATCTAGCACGTGTTATACTGGGCGCGTGAAATTAATAAATGAAAATGAAAAAATGAAAAGAGATCGCCGTTGGTATTTCATCCGGCGGGTTTAATCTAAACACCGTTTAGAGAGTCGATTAATTATTTGAAACGAGAGACGGTAATCGATGAGAAGGGGAATCGAAAGGGCGTCGTAGGTATCCGAGGAGCAAGTGTGTACGTACGCTGTGCGAGAAAGGAAATTGCTCGAACAAATTGAAAAGCACGGACGCCCCCATTAGATCGAACGAGTCTCGATTTTACGTACCGTCGGAATTATACTTTCAAAGTGGTTCGCGCAACCCGGAGAAGGCCGTTGCCTCTAGAAACTCGAATTTCGACACGCGAGATCCATCTTTTTGACAGCTTTTTTCACCCCCACAGATCCACCCCCGCAAAGCTCGCCCCAGTTGCCGGATTTTTTATAAAGAGATAACCACGGATTTTTTACGTATGCGAAGAATATTCATTCTTCGCCTTTACATAAATATATAATCAATATAAATTAATAAAAATAATTAATAATATAAATAACAAAAGCATTGTGATTGGTTGAAAGGTCGACTCACCGAAGGCTGAGACTCGTGGACACCTGGAAACGCTATTGGACGGCAGCCTGAACAGAGAGAGAAATAAATTGTTAGACGAACGAATATATTTTATGATTCATCGAATCTGATTCGAATTTCCATTGACTTTATTACTATTTATTACACGCGTCCTATCCAGCGTTCGGTTCTAATCCATTCTGCCCTTTTTCATCCAGTTCTCCAGCATATCCCACATGCAATCAACCGTGTTCCCGTTCTCTGTCAATTTTCTCCACATCAACCGCACACGCATCTATCCATTTATACGAGCCATCGAGCAGCCACAGTTTCAACCATGAATTTCCAGTAAGGGAATCGAGACCTCCACTGACCAGACGTTTCTCATCACCCTAGCAAAAGAGAAACTCTGCATAGAATTTCACGTAAACGTTTTTAACGATTCCTTTAAAAGACGTCGTAATAAATCGTGCATAATAACGATATTCCATGTGATTATCTGATATCCATCGAGTAAGTAATTATAACTAATTGAAAACACTTGGAGAGGCACTCCATAAAAGAAATCCTCCAAAGGAAAAGTTAAAATGCTCGAGTAGTTCGTAAAAAGTGCTTGAAAAAAAAAAAAAATCTCTACTTTACAACTGAAGCTGCCTTTTTCACATTTAAAAGGCCAGTTAAATAACGCTCTGTCCAATTAAAAGACCTAGCTTGTAATTACAGTTTCCATATTACATCGTCCCGAAGAAAATTTTCTTGGGAAGACGATTCGATCCTTCGCGGAGTCACTCGACAGAGCCTCGATGCATTTTTCAAATTACGTTACAATAATTTAGTATCAAGATTTATGACAATCCCAATTTATTATATTATAATTCTGCTGACGTTAAATATGCAAAGCGTAAGAGCGGAAATAATTTAAATAACCGCGTTTCTGCAACGGAGATCTTCGGTCTAATTATATTTTTTTTTTCTGTTTTAAGCAAACAATGTCCAAGGGGTCGGAAAAGGGAGCGTAGACGCGAGTCTCTTTGCTGAAATTAAAGTGTTCCCGTTTGCCGGGGAAAAATATCCACCGCGGGAACATTAAATAGAACAGCGAGCGCATAAAAAAAAAAAATACCGAGAGCCGCGTGCACTTGGAACAACTGAAAATGTCTGACGGCGTTCAACGTTGTTCGACGGGAGCGAATAAAAATGAAAAAGAGGTACGCGTCGATCGAATAAAACTATCAGAAAAATGCAACAAGTCTCGTTTTTATTTCCTCTCGATATTCATAGTTTATTTCGCGACTTTTAAAAATCCCGTAAAGAATAAAAATAGGCGGAGGTACGCGTGCCTCGATCGAGGGAGAACAAATTCTGGGAAGCGTCGACGAGTATCACGAGCATTAGGTGGGAACCGTGAAATATGCGAACAAGTCGCGACGCCCTGCGAATAAAATATTCGCTACTTTGCATAGTGGAAAGTTCTATCCGGGCCGTCGTCCCGTATTTTCCGTCGGCGAAACTACGTTCGAAAAACAGGCTTGGAGAAACAGTTCCACCGATGCCAATAACTCAACTGGGAGAGTCAGGCAGACTCGCGATTTTAACAATAATCGTTGAATTCGTAAATAGAAATTATCGATGAAAACCCACGACGTCTGTGTCGGTCAGTTTGAGGAAATTTTCGAAACAGAAATTCAGAGAACGTCGGAGATTTCATGCGTCCTGAGAATTTTGGCCAGTTTCGCAATCCCAGATATCTCAGAGTCTCTGAATTTTTTCAATTTCGATCGAAACCATAAACCCTTCGACGATAATAATAATTATCGAATCGAGTGAAGGACGATCGTAAATGTTACTCGTAGCTTTGTAATAGTTAAATGCATCGAAGTAATCGATTTCGACTCGACGACGTCCAATTATTCAATAACATTAATTGAAAATTGATGTCGTGACTGGCGGACGAAACGCGGATTGCATAAACCTATTAATTTTTATTCGACCGTTAACGGCCATTGGAAATGCAGCCGATAATTAAAAAGTCATGTCCGATAACATGGGATAATACTGTTATTTTTAATTCATCGAAATCGTTAAGTGGATAATTTAAAGCAGAACCGGACGTCTGGCCATATAACGGTCCTCTACTACTGCCCGTCACGCTGCACGTGATGTCTGACCACAACCGGTCAAAACTACTGAATCCCTACCGCAACTCGGCACCGTGTCCGTGCAAAACGTTACTTACTCCGTTCTATCGTACCGTTGAAAACAAACCTTCTATGATTTAACATCCAACTGTAATTAACGTCAGACATTTTAAACGCTTCGTGGCAAGTGACGAGATATCTCGCGACACTGTCGTTCGTACAACAGTTTTGTTCGTCAGCTTTATTTTATTCGAACTACAAGGAAATTGCAAGCATTTTTCTTGTATCTGCAGCTACAACTTTTATTGCAAACATTTTTCGCATTGCAATAAATAATTTTATTTATTTATTAATTATTGNAAAATATCGAAGAATGCTTCGAATAAAAGTTGTAGGTGATACTATTTTCTTGAATTATCAAGCAAATTACACATATAGACGAAAGATATGTACAATCTTAAAACACAAAGTTTGCTCGTAGCACGAAATTTGTCAATAAGCTCTGACGAATTTAATGCATGAAATTCGCTTTCTACATTTTCCTCCGCTATTTAAGTGCACAGTAATCGGGCGGATAATGGACAAGCGTGAAGCCTGCCGTTGCTACATTCCTCATTCCTGTAGGGAGGATTTACTTAACGGATGATGTTGGCCACCAAGTAGCCTAGCCCCATTCGCGGTTTACTTTAATCTACAGAATTTTCGAATGAGTTCATCCGAACCGAGACCTGCCGCGCTTCATTTAATTCCCCATCAAACGACCAACACAATTTTATGTGACACACGAAATGTTCCACGATTACAGCATTTTACAAACTGTTATTTCGATCGTCGGAAATCGTGAAGCTGGTAAATTCTACGACAAAGCTCAGACGGACTCATTTCCCCGGTATTTATCCGCGTTTACCCTTTCTTTATCACTCGCCTTTCTTTTCCACGCATACTCGCTATTGTTCCCTATCGTATCCAGAGCGGGAGCACGGCAACGAGATATCGACGCTCGGTCTGTGAAATACCGAAGACAACAGACGTTTGCTGCGTTCAGATAAATTCATTCTGAACCGCGCGGCCACTGCTCGTTTCAACCGAAAGAGGTGATCGAAACAGCGTAATTATCTGATTGATTCCTCGACATTTTTTTCGTTCAATTACAAGTCGAATCAATTTGGGTCACTGCGAGATACGCACGTAAAATTACGTTCGACTGTAACGACTTTGCATAAAAGCCAGACGAATCGTACGAGAGGGAAGCAGGTCAGCCTTGGAGAGACACGAGTGGTGGGAGATTCTCAAGTGAAAAAGAGACGGTCTCTCGGTTTCTTCAGCTGCCCGGGGTTAATTTTCGCTATTAAGGCTGGATAATTTAGGCAAACTGCTGGAAGGAATACCGAGCGTTGACAATGGACACCTCGAAAGAGCTTTGAGAGGTGTGGCATTAGTCAAGTTCAAAGCTTTCGGGTGTAGAAAGTCTAGCGAGGCCTCTTGTCTCCCTTGTCGACTCTTGTCTCCAGTTTATCTGCTACGAGTGTTCAGAACACGCGGAGAGGCTCCAGCGTGAAGTAGCCTCGTCTACTTTCTCCGCTTTCAGCGATTCAATCGCCGTTACGGTCTAAGGAGCGTCAAAAATTACATCGTAACGAGTCTCAATGCAATCGAAATCCTCCGGGGGGGAGATCGAGACTCGTATTAAAAACTCAGCTATTAATAATATCCTCGACGTTCCTCGTTGCTCCTCTTAAAAATGAACTTTTCAACAAATGACCTGGAAGAACAACTAGCCGACTTATATACAGCGGAATCCCCGGGTGTAGTTTCATTGTGAATTCCATGAGTTTGCATGTCCTGGTCAGGCAAAGTTAAACCAGTTTAATTAAATTACGCCAGAATTTCTTCCCTTTAGTTTCAACGTGTTTTATAATGAGCTGCCATCTCTCGACTTTTATTCCGTCGACGGTAAAAATAATGCCCATATGGATAAAAATTGTTTAACCGTTCCGAGGAGTGGTAAATAAACGGGGAACCGTGACACGATCACTTTGACCAACTGAAAGAATTCGTAAGCAGCGTGAAAGCGCCGGATCACCTAACATTTTTGCCAGGATGGGCAAACAAGTCTATCTAAAAAAGAATGGCTCGCATGATACATGCCTGAAAGCCGGCAAACAACGATTCACGACACCGCCATAAATAATAGCATCTCGGGAAGGAGCTGCCAGGGTTGACCAAGAACCGACCCGAAGGGTATACCAACCTTCCCACCGAGAATTAATGGTTTTTCCTCGGCGAGAGCGTATCTTCCGCGGAAAGAAAGATATACAGCCAGTGCCTCTGACCGTTGATCGAGTTGCCACGTAACACGAACGTCCTCAATGGGTATTATCATTCCGTAACGACGGTAATTCGATGAACACCTTGAAACATCTTTCTCCGATCCTTTCAAGAAACGCGCTCCTCAGTTTAAGTAATCTATATTAAAAACAAATTTGATCAGTCATTAGCCCTTCGTTCGAAGGACGAGAGGAAGGATCGAATTGATGGTAGAGAAAAATCAGGAAAGCGTTTAAAACGCGAGGTTTATCTAGTAACTCGATTCCCTACCTCGAGATAGACTCGAGCCATAATTTTTCGTTTCCTTTGTGCCACGAAATTGCTCGGCATTCTTTTCGAGTCCCGACACACGCTTCACAGGGACGCAATCTTGAATATCTTTTCTCTGTCCTAAGCCTCTCTCCGAGACTCCGACGTAAAGAGGAAAAGCAACAGAGGGAAAATATTTTTCAAATTCTTTGTCAACGATTCCGCGGAACCTCCGCTATTTCTCTTCTATAGAAACAGAGAGTCTCCCAAACGCAGCGATACGAGTCGAGAAATCTGTCGATCGAAAGAAAGGGGTTGAAATCGGAAGTTTGATGAACGCGATAATTAAACTTTTTCTCGGACCGTCGCAGTGGTGCAAACGATTGTCGCATGCATTTTCGTATTGCGCTAACAGGCTACTTAGCCATTCCGTCGGCGTATCGAGAGGAGGCGGGCTCGCACGAACGGTTTCACGCGAACCCGCGCCACCCACGATTCTCCCGTTAACGAACGGAACAGCCGCGATTTCCGGGTTCGGAAGTAGAAACTCCCTGAAAATCGGAAGCGGGCTCGCGTACCGATTCCTGTAAGACCCCCCGATCATGTATAAATCACCCAAATGCGCCCATCGTTAATTAACCCTCGACTAATCGGCTTCTACAAAATATTTTCTTAACAAAATATAACGGAAAGTACCTTCTAGTTTAACAGGGTTTAAAAACCGATGGAATACTTCGTATAAAAAAAATTCTCAAGTCACCGAAATTTTGCGCGGTCAGACTGTAGCCGCTCGAAGCGTGTCTGACCACTGCAGGCGCGCTCTACTTATACCGCCGACTTTATTCTTACGCTGTCAGAGACGATTGAAAGTTGTATCTATCAAACTATCGGATCGCGTCTTATCAATAATAATTAAACTTGGCGAGCATTCGGTCGGTTTGAGAACGCAAACGGGGAATATTTATCGGTCGGCCGCACAAAAGCGAGTTTATTACGCGTTCGAATATTTAATCGTGAGAAATTTCCTCGCGATTTCCCCGTTCCGAGTTAATCAACGGGACCCGCGATTCCCATAAACCGGGAACGCGTCGACGAGATTCGAGCAATTACGAAATTCCAGGAGCCATTCGACAATCCAGAAATTGCAGTTTATACCGTTTAAACGCACTCCTTCCGAACCGTTTGTTTAACGCGAAAGGCTTATCACCGACCAGTCGGTGATAAATCAATTTGTAGAACAGAAAACTTATATAAATTCGTTCGGTCTCAATGAACAGTTTATCTACTCCGTGTTTTGTTTACGTGCCTCGGACTATTAAGAGTCGCGAGGCTTCGAAACATTGAAGACGATCTACAGTCTGATCTTGAAAAGAAACATTGTACAATCCCGAAGACGACTTGTTTTATGTCAGACATTCGAACTAGCTTCATTACACGTTTAATGAATCTCATAAAGAATGGTCGTTCGAGATGATAACAGAATGGATTACGAATTTAAAACCAGATCGATGGCTATTATCTGATTTTTGTTCGAGTACACTCGAGGATGTACAGCCTAATTAATATGATTAATTAAGTTCAAGTGTCGATGGCAAGTCGTCGTCGTCGGGAAGGAATTGAAAAAAAGTAAATCAGGTTACACAGGCTGCTACCGGCTCGTATTTCCTTCTCCGAACTTTCTTTTAATGTAAACACAAGGGCGTTCCGAAGATCCCGTAACTGGGTTAACCCTGACGGAATTCAGGACGCTGCGTCCAAGAGATCCGTAAACCCGTGCAAGAAACTGCTTAAGCTCCGTATTTACGCGCGAAACCACAAGGAAAATGCTCGGAGAACGTTTAAGCGATTCGCCTTTTCCACTAGAATTTTATTAATTCAGTTTCTTCATTATTCGAACCGATGTTTTTCAAACGAACAGAGAGAATCCTCTCCGGCTAATTAAATTATGCTCACAGGCTATACGATACAAACTACAGTACAAGTTTAAGATTATTCTTTAATTATAAATACCTTTCTGTTGTCCTTTTTATTTCCGAGGAAAGTTCAAAGAACCGTAACTGGGTTAATCTAGACAAGCGTGGAATCCTGCGATTCCGGAAACGCGATTCATCCATAATTTCATTCACTCCTTATACGGCCATGGAAACAATCTATAATTAATGTACTTGCGTTTTTATTTTCGTGGTTCAAAGATCCGTAACTGGGTTAATCTTGGACGAGCACGGAATGCTAGGATTCCTGAATCAACCGAAATGCCGTCGTAGCGATTCGCAAGGACGTCGTACGCGAGGGAACCTACGATTTCTAGCCTGCAAAGGTTTATTTATTTTATCGCGCGAAGCGTATCGCGTTTTCGCGGCATAAACACGAGGGCGTACCAAGGCTAAACTAGGTTAACCCGAGCGAGCATCGTCTAACGTTGATTAATAAAAAATTGTAAAAAATCCGTTTTACTCACTGTGACACTTGATGTCTGGCGACGATTCGAACGTCGACGGGGACGACGGCGAACGGCCAGGAATCCCACGGTGGTCGAGGTTTTCACTCTTATCAAACCGAAAACCCGAGCTATCATCCGCGACTTCGAAGGACGCGAGGGACGCGAGGTAAAAATTTAACGACGCCGTTCGCGTGTTGTGACGTCGCGTGGTTTCACTCACTGACACCGTTCGTTCGCGGGCAGTCTACACCGTGTACTGCAAACGGTAAAACGAGAATAAGTGAACGGGGAAACGTTTGAGGGTAGCAACGAAGGGTGAAACGTACCTCTGCGTCCGCACGACCGATCCGACACCGCCCTCGCACCTCACCACACTCGCACCACCGCGTCACTGCTCGTGCGCGTCTCAAGTTGTCCGCGCATGCGTGCCGCCGTCTAGTCGCGTCTTTGTCTCGCTCACGCCGTTCAAACTCGTTTCCGCGAAAGCTTGCGTACCAACCGAGATGAGGAAAACTTTCGGAAGCACATTAGATCCCTGTTACAGTGTTTCCGACGTGTTTCTGCCACCTTTGCCAAACTATCCTTCATATTTGTCAAACTCCACGCTTCCAATTAATCGAACTCGAATCGCACGCACGCAAATTCACGCCGAGCGACTTCTTTACACACGCGGCTGGTACTTGGAATCATTTTTTATATTCGTTTATTTGCATTTTTATCGCGCCTTTAATTACGGACTCGTGATTCATGGGCGATGCAGATCAGCCGGTTATCGTAAATTAAATCTGACGAGGGTATAAAAGGAGCTTGTCCTCTGGGTTCGCCAATGCAAATTAGGTGTAATTCGAAGTTACCCACGCGCAATTGCGGCCTGCACCTGTTATCTGATACAAGGTACACTATATCCTCGAGGACAACGATTACTCCACCGCGTGATCGTTTCTTCGTTACAAAACAGATAAACAGACTATCGTTAGAATTCCTCCACTGTCTGTATCTGTTTCAGCAGATATTAGCTATGGTACAGAGGATGCAGATTCGGTTTGAAGGTTAAAAAAGTTTTTCAATCAGTACGTGTCCCGGGGACGAATGGGACAAAGGAGGAAAGTTGTCGAGTGGCCACAAGATACCCAATGAATTCTCCCTGGCTGAGCTTTAACATGGCAATCTGTCTATAACGCCTTAATAAGTTCTGCCTCCCTTTTTCCTACTTGAAACTTTCCACCGAAAGAAATGAACCCATTGCTATAATTAAAGATCCAATGCTTATTATATTACTTCGCAGAAAGTTCCAAGGATCTCTCGATATTGTCGATCGATCGATCCGTTTTCAATTAATGGTCACGGTCAAGTTAATGAAACGTTGGACGAATTAATTCGGAACGAGGAAAAAATTGACAGATCGATACGAGAGTAATTACGAATGGGAAGACGTTTGTTTCTAATGGCAACGTGCGCCGATAGATCAAACCGTATCACGTGTTTCAATACAGCCAGGGCCGCTTTTACTTTAGAGGAGACGTTCAGTTGCTCTCTGAAGACGGTAACATGATTAGTTTCGCAGCCACGTGCCCGAGCATGAATTCACTAGTTTTTCCAATAGAACGAGGACAACATCTCCGGTTTTAATTTAGGTGAGAGCCCAGTCGGCACGCAGGGCGTTAATTTCCAGGTTCGAAAAAGAATGATACGTTAATTACGAGTTCAACGTTTATACGACGGAGCGTACAATTTTAATCCCTCTTTGACGAGTCGATTTGCATTTAAATGAAATTGTTCTAATTGTAAGACGTCGGATGATCACTGGTTCTTTAACGAACTTCCTAACTCTGTAAATAACGAATTTCCCTATCTAAAATTGAATCGCGTCAATTCCGGTTGTAATTCCCATTTTACGTCCTCCGAACGTAATGGTAAATAAATCTATCTCGATATCGAGAAATAATTTACAGAGGACTGATCTATGGAAATATGAGAAATGTTAGAAATTCCTTTTTAAAAACGCATTTTGCCCAGGTTTAAAAGGTCGCCCATAGAAACTCGTGTGAATTTCTTCTCGTTCAATGAAACGAAATACGTTGAATCGCGAATTGAATATCAACCGTATGAGATTGAATGTGTCAAAGAGGAGGCAAGAAGAGCTGACGAGGTGAAAAACGTGGATACTCAATGGCGGTACCAGCGAATTCTTTACGTTTTTCTATCAACGAGAGGCCGACGATCTTGGCAAAGCTAGAGGAGTTCACCAACGTGTTGGCTATTTACCACGGTACATTGGAGGAGTCTGTCCCATCCCACGACGACCTCCTCGACTGTCTCACCCTCGACACTGAGTACGCGCTCTTTAAATAATACCATTTGTTACACGTTCAATGCCTTTTACGTTTATTACAGTGATTTTCAAACGGTCGACGACGGAGAGATTAAAGAGGCCAGGGAACGCGTCGTCAGAAGAAGAATATATGAGAACAGGTTCGAGTTCGTCAATAGAATCTCTCGGTTTTTGAACTTGCAATTCTCCACAGTTTGTACATGATGAACGTCATGGAAGAATTGAAAGCGGAGATCAGCGAAGAGGGAACGTTCACGATTTTGTCTACAGAGATTGACAAAATAACGACACGCGAAGAAGAGATGGGAGTTCTACTGTCAGAGCAGGAGACGCTGAGGAACGCAGTTGCAGAATTGCAGAATGCGGTCGCAGGAGAGAAGTCGACGAACGAGGGGGAGAGGAAACGGATGCTGAACGAGCTCGCAGAGGCACAGGTCCTGACGTCTTCCATTCAGATTCTTTTATTAATTTCAACGTCGTTCCACCCGTTATTAATATTGATACGACCCGACGCGCGTTAAAATCGTTGAATTTCCTGTTTGATAACAGCGTAACGTGGAAAAATTGAAATTAATCGCGGACGCGGAACTGGAGTACGTAACCGAGTGGGAAAAAACGAGGTACGAGCAGAGCTCTTTGCGTCGCGACATGGAGATTGAAAAATTCGAGAAGATATTAAACGAGCGACGCACGCGAGAAAAAAATCAGCTGACTGTTCACGGCGAGCTAACGAAATTCCTGATCCTGGATACCGCGGTGAGAATTGCACTTCGCATTTATACTTATCACCGGGCTGCACGTTTCTACGAATCGCACAGCTTCCATCATTTTTTTTAAACGAATCTAAAAATGATCTCTCTGAAAATTTTGAAAAATCCTTTCGACCGAACGATCGGTGGTTCGAAACGACAGGCTATAGAAGAGAGGACCAGGGAATGGGAGGAGCGGTACGTCGGCGAGAAGGAAGCGTACAAGAAAGAGATCCTGCGGCTACGTATCGAGATAGAAACGGTGCAGAAAAAGTTGGACGAACTCGAACAAGAGGTAACTCGTTTTCCATTGAAAACAATTCGATTTACCTCTGCTTGTTTTCTCGAATCTAGAATTAATCAAGTTTAAACTCGTCTTTCGATTATGCAAAAACAGTCGCGTTAACTTTGAAACGAGGATCTATTATGTTAACTCTATCATTCGACACGCTGTTTATTTCGTTTCTATCTCGTCGACTGAAATATTAAAGAGAAACCGTGCGAGGATGATCCTTGCAGACTCAAAGAAACTGAATCACGTAAAAGGATATAGAGCCTGTGTAAATGCAGGGTTATTAAATATTCCGTGTGACCTGCTGATTTACTGCATCGCGGCCAGGTTAATCCTATTGGAAATCGAGCCACCATAGCCGGCCGGCAGCTTAGAATCTACGTGCAATGCGGAAATTCTGCCGGGAAATCGATAACTCGTGTCAAGAACCTGTTTGCGGCTGTCCTAAGTCCCGTTGAAAAGAAACGTTCCTCGCCAAGTTCGATCCTTCCGTCTCATTTACTCGTTAACTAAATCTAATTAGAATCGTTGCAAGAATCATCGAACGAGACGATGTACCGAAGAAACGTCGTGTGAAATTCAATTTCTCGAATCGCCTTTTTAATTCCTCTATTTTCTTTCTACTACTAAACCGCGAGCGAGTCTCTGAATTCAACCGATTTTGTTAAGGATGTATTGGCTATACAGTCAATCCCAAAGGTTTATGCACTTTAGAAACGCATTTTTTTAAAAGAAATCAAACGTCGGAAGAACAT